GTGTGGGTGTGAGTGTGTGTGTGTGTGTGTGTGTGTGTGTGTGTGTGTGTGTGTGTGTGTGTGTGTGCGCGCGCGCGTTTTTGTGACAAATGAGGACATCAATTTGTATAATGACACAGGTATTACAAGGAGAAGGTGACTTTTCAGGACATTACCCCATGTCCCCACTTTTCAAAATGCTTATAAATCACACAGAATGGAGTGTATTGAAAATCTGAAATAGCACAAAGTTTCCTGTAAGGGGTAGGTTTAGGTGTAGGGTTGGTGTAGGGCAATAAAATATACGGTCTGTACAGTATAAAAACCATTACGCCTATGGGATGTCCCCACTTTTCACAAAAACAAACCTGTGTGTGTGTGTGTGTGTGTGTGTATACACCTGGTGTTCCCTACATTATGAGTACCAAATGAAATGTTCCTTCAAGGATAGTAATACCAGTAAATTTTGATTTTGTGGGGACATTTTTGTTCCCCATGAGGAAACAAGCTTATAAATCATACAGAATGAAGTGTTTTGAACATCTAAAATAGCAGAAAGTTTTGTGTGAGGGGTAGGTTTAGGGGGTTCGGTAAGGGGAAAGAATATACAGTTTGTACAGTATAAAAACCAATACCCCTATGAAATGTCCCCATAAAACATGGAAACCTGTGTGTGTTCATTAAAAAAGGATAACTCTTGGAACACGCTGTGTATTTGTGTGTGTAATGAAGGTCTGCAAGCATATGTTAAGTGATTAGTCATGTTGCCCAACTCATAGGTGAGAAGCTGCAGGGTTAAATAGAGAGAAACAGGAAGAGAGAGAGCAACCTGCAATCTCACCTCCAGTTACATTACAGGGCTCTAAATAAAGGGTTTGATTACACACCAATCAAGTCTGTATCTCAATGACCTCTTATAGCATTTATTTTTCTCATCACTTTGCTTTATGCATTTTTATTTAACAGGAACTGAGATGATACTGTATATCTGTTATAAAGTATGTGTGTGTGTGTGTTTGTGTTATAGATGAAGATAACGCCTCAGCATTTGTGACTGGTATCGTACTGTATAGAAACTTGGGCAGTATTCTCTCTCTACAGAGGTGAGACTTTGCTTTCATTTTATGTTGAGACTTTGTGCATTTCAATTGGTTTCTCTCTCTGTTGCTGTTTTCTTGGTTTTAAAGAAAGACCAACCTGCTACACTTTTTCAAGTTTTAGCATTATTTGAGCTAAAGTAGTGATAGATTTCATACCATTATTGTCAGATTTTATATTTTATTTATCTTGGCAAACGTTTTCAGAGCTATATGTGTATGCCTAACCAGTTAACACTGACTGATGAACAGAGAAAAAAAATAGTAATATATATATATATATACATTCTCAAAATGTCTTTTATGCCCATATAGAAGAAAGAAAGTCATAAAGGTTTGGAATGACATGACAGTGAGTAAATTACATTTTCATTTTTTGGGTGAACTGTTCCTTTAAAGGGATTTTTAATAGGACACTCTGCAATATCAGAAAGAATTACATAAAAACAAAGCCATAAAAAAATACACTTGCCTTGTAATAGTTTTATAGCCTTTCTGAATAGCTGAAAGATGTCTAAATGTATTGAAACGTCTTTAGGGTTCAACAGAAAGGTTGGTCATTTCTGTTTTGTCTGTTTTCTGTCTTTCTCATTTTTCTCTTTTTCTTGGAATGTGGTGATTTTGAAACAGATATCTGGTGACACAAAAAGTGTCAAAAAAGAATATACTCTATGAGCAAATGACATGCACATTTACCACAGCACAAAGTGAAGTGTCTCATACTATATTTGTCACATGGGAACATGGGAGCTTTTTTGAAGATCGTGACCTCCTCTCTTCTTCCCCCTTCAGTTTTTTTGCAGTCCTCATATTTTCTCTCATCTCTCTCTATATTTTCACAGAAATAGCACAGTGCTGAACTCCAGGGTGATATCTGTGACAATCAAACCCACTCCCAGCTCCCTCTCAACTCCACTAGAGATTGAGTTCTCACACCTTTACAATGTAAGTCAGTCTGCCCTTTAAACCCATATGTTGCATCAATCGCGATATGTGTACAGCCTTGTTCCAATATTATTCAAACTATGTCTCTCTGACACATTAACATTAATTCATTTTTAATTTGATTCTTTTAGAAGAATTCTTCAAGCATGGGACTTTTTCTCTCACATACTGTAGGACGATTTTTAATTGTAATTTAATTTGAATTAATTACTTGTAATTTATTTTAATTTTATTTTAATAATTACTTTCTTTCTAGTTGTATGAGTGTTTAGCCATTTTCCAGAATTTCACTATTTTTGGAAAAAAATATTTTTATTATTTTCTTTTTTGTTTTCTATCATTTTTAAATGTATTATTATTCCATTAATTATTTTCAATTAAGTTTGTGTTTATATGTGCATCTTTTTATTTATTTTTAGTGTCCTCAATATTGCTGATATTCCTGTCCTGCTTACCTTTTTTCCCAACTTAATTGACTGTTAGCAAGGCTAAGATTTCAAATTTTTGGGAATAAAAAAAAAAAAAAATAGTAATGTATACCAATACATATTTGCAAGGCAAAATCTCAAGGTGACATCCTTCTCTGCCTCTCGCACTCTTACTCTCTCCACAGGGTACCACAAACCAAACCTGCATTTCCTGGGATGAGAATGACAGGTGAGAAGCCGTTTATTAATTTAAATCTGTTTTTGCTGTCTGTTGAGTTTTGCAGGAAATCTTCAGTCACACAGTAGGGTGTATTTTCCAAGGCTTAAAGAGGGGTGTGTTGATAAAGGGTTAGAGACAACGTGATGTAGTATATTAAATGTATGTTACACTGATGCAACCTCAGTGACAGGAGATGTTGAATCCTGCAGATTCAACATGCCTTGATCTTCACTTGACCCAGCACTGACTCCACTTTGACATTGGATGATTTTTGCATGCCACATTCCTTCTGTACTGTATACACATCACTGAAAACACACTTCCAATTAAAGCAGAGATGAGACACACAAAGCAGGCTACAAGAGAAAATGGTTAGAAAGAGCAGAGAGGGAAAAAGACAAGAAGGTTCTGGCTGCAGACATGCACTCTCTGTAGAAGAACTGAAATATGTTGCAAGGATAAATTTGTATAAGTGTTTTAGCATGTTAACACAAGGTACTTTGGTGGCTGAAGACATTTTATTTTTATATTTATGTTGATTTATATATTCAAGATACAACTAGTATTGGTAAAAGCCAAATGTGCATCACAAATATTTACACTGATTGCTGTGATACCGGCCTTGCAAACTGAGATGCAATAGACCAACTGCTTTTGAAGGCCACCAGTACTGTTGTCTCATTTTTAACTAGTTTGGCTGCAGTTTGTCCAAAAATATTGTTAGAAAAAATTATGGTAGAAAGATGATGGTAAATAAATCATACTCCCATATGAAAACTTTCATTTTTGTATGGTCTTGGTAGCACTTTAAAAAAAAAAGGTTCGATTTGATAATCCAAGGTATCATGATTCATGAACCTATTGTGAACAACGTCTTTTTTTTTGCAGCATTTAGTAATCTAGGGTAGTGCTGATTTATAAATATTGTGTTGTTTGCCATCACTGGAATCTTTCAAATATATTTATTATGTAAAATATATTTAAAAAAAGAAAAAGTTATTTTAAATTGTACTGTAATAATATTTCACAATTATTGTTTTATACTGTATTTTTGAACAAACAAACAAATAAATAAATTAACATATGAGAACTTAAAAATCTTATGTGAACCCACATTTTAAACACTGGTGTATGCCAATTTCTAGAACTTTACATGTGAAAAGTATATTAGTATATGTAGAGATTAACATTAATATAAATTGAACCTTATTGTAAAGTGTTTTTAGTATGTTATTAGTGTTTTAGTATTCTAAATACATCATTATTTTAGTATGTATTTAGTATGTATTTAGTATGTATTTTGTGAGTGTGTTAGAGAAATAACAGTTACACAGATGTAGATTTAATCACGTTTCCTTTATATGTTTATATTTATCATAAAAAAACAGTCCTCCTATGAGCTGCATTCAGATCTCAGGACGTTTTATGCACTATAAAGTATGAAGCTTTAAATCTATGAGTAAAGGATTGGCACCTGACATTCAAATGGAAATCCATCCTGTCATCTCAATAATCATCTCAATCATCTAAATGAATGAATGCTTGGCACAGACGTGATTGGCACGTCTTTACTAGTGCCGAGAAACATAACAGGTAAATCCTGACAGCGTCACTCTAAGTGCTTCAGCTGCAGAATTTACATCTGAATTATTATGGTCACATTCGAAATACACACTGAAGAGCTGAAATAGGACAAGCATTATGTATTACCATGAGAATAAGTTTGGCTTCATTAGCAAACATGAACGGAATCTTATTTATTCTTTTTCCTTTGCAAAGAGAGCAAGAAAATTGAGACTGCGTATCTGAAGCCAGATTCTATTGAAAGAGGCAGACAGACGATCAGACAGACGAGCACCAGCATTATGTTGTACTTTAACAAAGAACCGTGGGCCTTCTGGTCATGCTTGTACTTTCACCCCCTACACATCCATCTGTTTGCGCTCTTTTTTGTCTTTTAAAACTGCAAAAGACTAGTTCGTGCACATAGCGCTTAATGCAGTGTGGGTGGAACATTTGCATTTAGATGGTTACATATAGATATGTTAAAGATATAACGTTTTCTGCCGTTGCCTCAAGGGAGAACAGACTGAGAACAATAGAATTTAAAAATCCTGTTAAAAAAATTGAAAAAAGTGCAAAACTCACTATTGTTGTTATTTGTTATCAGGGCATTGCTGTGCCAGTACAAAAGTGCTTCATGTGGTTTTTAGTGCATTGCTGGAGTGTCATGTGTGGTTTCTTACTGGTGAAAAGTTCAAATGTTTGGAGTCACTACTCACTTTTCTTAAGATAAATTAAATTTAATACTTTTATTTAGCAAGGATGTATTAAATTGATCAAAAGTGACAGTAAAGACTTACTTTTTTTTTTTTTTTAATCTATTTTGAATAAATAATGTTATTCTTTTGAATGTTATATTTGTCAAAGAATCCTGGAGGGGGAAAAAGCGATAACAAAAATATTAAGTAGCAAAACTTAATGATTTGATTTATTGATTTATTTGATTTATTGAACACCAAATCAGCATATTACAGTGATTTCTGATGGACCGTGTGACAATGAAGCCTAGAGTAATGGCTGTTAAAAAAATCAGCTTTGCATCACAGGAATAAATTACATTTTATACTTTATTTAAATAAAAAACGTTATTTTAAATTGTAACAATATTTGACAATTTTATTGTTTTACTGTATTTTTGATCAAATAAATGCAGCCTCAAAAACATAAAAAATGTGTATATTATTTTAGTCCTTTTAAGTAGTATATACAGGAGCTAAATAAGATTTATCAGCCTCAAAAACATAAAAAATGTGTATATTATTTTAGTAATTATAAGTAGCATATACAGTAGCTAAATAAGACTATCAGCCTCAAAAACATTAAAAATGTGTATATTATTTTAGTAATTATAAGTAGCATATACAGTAGCTAAATAAGACTATCAGCCTCAAAAACATTAAAAATGTGTATATTATTTTTGTCCTTATAAGTGGTATATACAGTAAATAAGACTATGAACAATCTTTTTGGACAAAAGAATATTATATATACGATTTCTTAGAAAAGTAATAGTACACCAAGCACCACTTATAACACAAGAATAAAACACAATAATGCAGAGAAATGAGAAGAAAAGAAAAGACAAGGAGAATGGTGACAGAGAGGAAGGAATGAGATAAAGGGAGCGGAAGAGAGAGGCTGAGAGACAGGAAGAGAACAGTGAAATGTAATCTGCCCGCATTGAGCGAAGGGGAGCCGGGGCTGGTGTGTGTTCAGTGCGAAATTAAAATCCATCTTGGACAGCTGCTATGATTAATGAGTTCATATTTGGGAGAGAAATTGGAATGTGAGGAGGCGTCCTTGTCACTGACTGTCTTTTAGTTAACAGCTTTAAAGAGTGTGGGCTTTCTGTTGACTCGCACTTCAATCACACGGTAGCGTTTTTTTGTTTTTTGGTTCTTACATGATCTTTCTCATTCATGGATTTACTTGAGGCATTTTGCATGCATTTACTGCGTAAAAGAAATCTGTGAAATTTACAATAAAAAAATCAGCAGCTGTGGCTGCCAGAATTTACCATAAAAATTACAGTAGCAACATTTTAGGTTTTATGGATTAAACAAATTTACAGTAAAAAAAATCACGCATTAGAATTCTAGGAACGTTAATTTACATTTTGCACTGAAAATTAATAATCACTTGTTCTTTTTCACTTCCATAAACGTCATTTAACAGTATTTTACTGTAAATACATGAAATGTCCTATTATATTTATTACAGTTTTTCAACATATAGTTAGGAAACTTACCTTTAACAGGGCTATTATTGGTAATTAAAACTAAAACTGTTAAAATATTTTTGTTAAAAGGGGCATAACACACACAGTTTCACCCAATCTCATCTTGAGTACCTATAGAGTAGTACTGCATCCTTCATATCTCCAAAAAGTCTTTAGTTTTATCATATTTATAAAAGAAAGATACAGCTTTACGATTCTCTCCGGAAACAGCCGAGCTCCTGCAGGCGTGCCGTTGTCCCGTGCAGTGCAGCTGAATGAAGCGCGTTGATGGGCGCGCTCTTGCTCTCGCTCTGGTCAATGTGTGCATGGGCGCGTTCTTCCGGGAGAAATGCCCATATATGGAGTTCCACCCTTCATGACGTCATAAGGAGCCATAATCTAAAAAACTTTCCGAAACTTGTAAGAAACCCGGAAGTGTGTATTTGACACAGAAATACTCTGTTATACGTCCAAATCGTTTTTTGAAACTTTGGCCATATTTAGCATGAGAATCCAACTCTTTAACAGTGTAAATAACTCAAGATGCCCCCCACCACTTTATCTGAAATAAAGCTGAAATGAAATAATACAAACATCAGATGAAATATTTTTAGTAACTTGCTAAGACAATATTTCATATTATATTTAATCAATATTTCATAAAATAAAATAAAAACTAAAATTGAAGTAAAAATACATTAAACCTAAATAGCAATATTAAAAAGCCAAAAACAAATAAAAATGACAAAAGCACATAACAAAAAATCTAACAAAAATTCAAATTAAACCTGAAAGTACAAAAATAAAAGCTAATTCAAAATGTGGATAAAAGTAGTATATAAATAATACTAAAATATGCAAACATTTTTATTTTTGCAGACTTTTACCATTAAAATTACTATATATATATATATATATATATATATACATCGGCGTCGGGCGAGAGACAGCCGCTGGACGATGATATCCTCTCTCTAATATCATCTGATCCAGGGGCCAGTGCTCAGTTGGGCCCAGCCCAACAAGAGCAGGGAATGGATGTGGAGAGTGAAGAAGCCGAGGCTGAGCTTTCCCAGTCCACCTGCCCTGCGTATGGTGAGCTGCTAGAGGTAATGGATCGGGCCACGGCCAGGCTCGAATTAACGTGGAAACGAGCCAGGGAGGTGACGTCGCAAGGTCGTCTTGACGAACGTTATCTCTCTGACCATAGACCAGCTCAAGTGAGCCT